AAAGAATTTTTAAAGAAAAATTATTTGATGGAAAATATTAGCATTTGTAGAAATGAAATACTGTGTAATCCTGATGGTATCGGGCCCGTATCTTGGTTCCGAAGCCCGGTACAGGTTCAAAATAATATTTAAGTCGAACTTGTGAAATTTGGTAAGAATCGGAGTTGATTTGATATAAATCGGACCCATAGTTGAGAAAATGGAAATTTCAATGTTCTTGAGAATTTTATGAATTTTGGTGCTAAATTCGTAGTTGTCGATGTTATTTTGATGATTTGATTGCACAAACAAGTCCGTATGATATTTTTAGACTTGCATGCATGTTTGGTTTGGAGCCCCGAGGGTTCGGGTGAGTTTTGGATAGGCCACGGAGTGAGTTTTGGACTTAGAAAATTTCTGATCTGCATCTGGTATTGTTGCAGGCTCTGATCTTACAATTGCGAGGTCAGGCTTCGCAATTGCGAGCCTATCAGGCTTGGTAATTGCGAGGGGGCTAATCGCAATTGCGATGAATGCCCTGGCCAGCCTTGTTCGCATTTGCGAGCTTTTCTTCGCAAATGCGAAGGTCTCAGTAGTCGCAAATGCGACCTAATTGTCGCAAATGCGAAGGGAGCAGAAATTCCTACAGTTTGCAATTGCGGACCCCTGATCGCAATTGCGATAACTGCGACCTGTAAGTGGGATTTCGGACGGGATTTTCATATCATTCTTCAAAATTTCAAAACCTAAACTCCTAAGGGCGATTTTTCAAGAGCAAGTTCTTCCCCAAATCATAGGTAAATGAATCTTAGCTCTTTTTCTCCAATCTATAACATCTTTTTACATGATTTTACTTCAAAAACTAGGGTTTTTCATGGGAAATTGGGTGTTCTTGGGTAGAAATTAGGATTTTCGAATTTTGGGGATTTGGACCTCGATTTGAGGTCCGATTTCAAAACTAATTGCATATTTGAGTTCGTGGGTAAATGGGTGATCGGGTTTTGATTCAAACTTCGGGTTTTGACCAAGCGGGCTCGGGGTCGGTTTTTGACTTTTTGGGGAAAATATTGGGAAATCTATTTTCATGCATTAGAATTGGTCTATTTAGCATTTAATGATGTTATTAAGTAAATTATGACTAGATACAAGCGGAATGGAAGTGAAACCGAGAGGTAAAACGGTAATTGAGGCTTGATTTTGTCCGTGGAATTGAGGTAAGTGTTTGGTCTAACCTTAGCTTGAGGGAATAGGAGTTGTGGTCTTAATTGCTACGTGTTAGTGTTGAGTACGACGTATAGGCATGGTGACGAGTATCTATACGTTGGTTTCAAGCACGCCCGTGAGTCTTATACCATGATTGTTGTGACTCTATTGTGTATTGTCCATGCTTAGGTTGATGATTATAAATGTTGAACCTGATTCATCATGGTAATTGACCATTGTTGAGTATTGGCTCAAGTTGGGAATTCTTTTGTGAAATAACTATTGGAACGAAATTGGTTATAGTTGATTCCCTTGTCGGGATGTTATTGTTCATATTGTTGATTCCCTTGCCTGGATGTTGTTGTTTATATTGTTGATTCCCTTGCCGGGACGTATTGTTTCTAATGTATGAGTGAGGAAGAGTCTAAAGCACGAAGGGTGATGCCGTGCATGATATTGTGAGTGAGTGTTAAAGCACGAAGGGTGATGCCGTGCCGGCAAATTTTTCTTTCTTCTTTGATTTGCCTTTCCTGCATCTTTCTTTCTATCCATAGGTCGGCTTCGCACAGATAGATCTTTGCCGGGGGAGATTGGTGCCCCTTGAGGTATGCATATTGTGAGTGATGATACACGAAGGGTGATGTCGTGCCGTGATTATGAGAGTTAAAGCATGAAGGGTGATGTCGTGCCAATATTGTGAGAGTTAATGCACGAAGGGTGATGTCGTGCCATGATTATGAGAGTTAATGCACGAAGGGTGATGCCGTGCCGATTCTGTTGATTCTTATGGTGAGGATGAGAGTAAAAGCACGAAGGAAGACGTCGTGCATGTGTTACTGTTTTCCTTATTCCTATTGATATCATTATGGTATTCTTTATGCTTCTCTACTGAATTTATGTTAAGTATTTTATATTCCCCGCAACATGCTTCCCTTCCCCTCTTTATCTGTTATTTCCTGTTTTTATTATCCGTTGTATATGATTTAACTGCACATGTTTATATGGTTGTCGTGTCCTAGCCTCGTCACTATTTCGCCGAGGTTAGGCTCGACACTTACCAGTACATGGGATCGGTTGTACTGATACTGCACTCTGCACTTTCTGTGCAGATTTCGGTGCTGGACCTCGTGAGTAGATCGTGGGTTGCTGCCTTCGGTCCATAGGAGACCCGAGGTAGATCTGCCGGCGTTCACAGACTCCGGAGTCCCCTTCCTTATATTTTGATATACTATCTCTTTTCATTTCGAGAACATTTATACTTTTCTTTCTAGACCAGTGTTTGTAGACATTCGTGAAATTGTGACACTAGATTCTTGGGTAGACGTGTATTGGAGTATTTTGAATTTGTTATGACACTTTCGCACTTTTCATCTGCTTAGTTTTAGTTGCTGTTTATATCTATTTGGGTTGATTGCTAATGTGTTGAAATCATAGTAGTTGGCTTGCCTAGCTTTCACGAGTAGGCGCCATCACGACTCCCGAGGGTGGGAAATTCGGGTCGTCACAAAATCCTAACCAAAGATAATTTGCCCTAGACCTAAGATAGAAGATGAGAGTAAGCCAGCATAGCACACATAAGATTTAACTGTAACACTGATTGAATCCCATTATATAAGAAGAGGATGGTGATTTTAATAACATTAAACAATGATGAAGAATATATGGGTAAAAAGGGGTCACCAATCTTTGCAAGGTTGAACCACATACATTTGATATGATAAGACTAATGATACATGTCGAGGATCCGAACTTCCTTGCTTCTTTCCCCTTCGTGGAGAGAGAGAGAGATGAAGATCTCTCCTCTTCTCAGAAAATATCCGTTTGTTGATTTGTTTCCGCCCCCTTTCTTCTTCTTACTTACTTAGTTTATATACTAGGTCTTCTCCTTTATCCAACGGTCATTAACCATCGTACTCAAGTCGTTTGACTATACTACGGGTTGACCCCTTGAAATGCCATAATATCCAATTCGCCTCTCAAGCGTTCTGAATACATGACCTCCGCTGTGGCCGAGGTGCGTGTCGTTATAGCGTTGTATGGATACGATTGTCCCAAGTAACTTTTCGCTGTCCCTTTCCACGCTGATTCTTATCTGGTTAAATTTTGACCCATACAATACATACCACTCCATTTCTCGATCCATTACTAAGCTTGAAAGACTATTCACTTTGACGACTAGTCATATAAATAAAAGATTTTACTTTTCTCTCTCTCTCTGGAACTAAAATTGATTGCAAAAATACTTATAGAGTCACAAGTCTCAAAGTTTGGCCTCCTTCCTAAATGTTAATGGCTTTTGAATTTCTTGTAGAAAAATTGGGTCTAATTGTCGTTAGAGTTTGGCCTCTTCTTTTGGACTTGCAAACTAGAGATAAGTACATTCACGAATGTAGCAACATTGTATACCCTGTGCATAACTTACTAAATCTTATGTTGCTATGCACAATTTATTAAATAAATCAATGAAAAGTAGCATAGTACTATACAAAATCTCATTTAATACCCTTTGACATGCAATAAAGAGTAACATAGTCCTCTTCCACACTCCCAACGACAGACCTATTAGTCATGAACCAAGCAAAGGCTTCCAGCATTCTTTTCATTTTTACCGTGTGAATCTTGGTGAAGACTTAATTACTGAGAGTATCGTACGGAGGGGGACGTGCAAAAATTCAAAGAAAAAGAACTAGCTAACTAACTGTGAAACTATTAATCCTAAACCAAATTAGGGATGCCAATCGAGTACTCACTCGATAATGATTTATCATATACTTTGATAGTGCAAGGAAATAATCGTTAGAATATATTCTACTGGTGATCTTTTGTAAGAAGTGAGATCTTTAGACTTGAAATAAGACAAGTTACCTGCTATAATATATAAAAGTGACATGATAGTGTATATTTTATATACATATGAGTTATACTCAATAAATGAGGGCTATCACCCTCTCTGTTACCTACTTACCTTATAGGATTTCCAATTAGCGATCCCAACTACACTCCAATTGTTCCACTTTTTTTTTCCTAGATAAGGTGTTAGAATATATCGATGGATACATATGTTCCAATTACAAGTGCACGAGGAATAACTTAATGTCATAAAACAGACATTAAAAGACAACAAGTATTACGATAACAGAGACATTTGACACTACTAGAAATCCGGAAAAAAGCGACCACAAAAAGCGACCAAAGTTGGCCGCATAGTATACAAGGTATATTCAATATATGTAGTATAGTATAGTATATATATATATATATATATATATATATATATATATATATATATATATATATATATATATATACTAAGTGCATATCTTAACATATTAGCAACTCTATAGGGAATATTCCAGGGTGACCGGGTTTTATTCCCTATAGAGTTGCTAATATGTTAATATCATTTAAACCCGGTCACCCTGGAATATACCTACGTCATTTAGCCTAGATAGAATTAATTGTAGGCTATTGGTTTGACGCAGGGTGAGCGAAACATAGACTGTTTCGTGGGTTATAATACAGAATTAATTGATGATTATCATATGATTTGTCTCCGTTACCATAATGGTAGAAAGAATGATATTAGGAAGGGCAGGACCCTTTATTTGAGCCGTTCCTATAATGCGGAGAGACACCCTGAGATAAATAAATTCTTAAAGTGTTTTTATCGCCAGCACCTCGAACCGAAGTTTAATGATAAAGGATTAAGTATTACCGAACAAACTAAAATTGGGAAATACCAAATTGTTGTGTTGGAATTGTTGCGTAAATCTAAAGTATACAGGTACGATAGTTATAAATTATACGAATTACAAAGGATGATTGAAGAACAAGCATATCTATATGATGATATACAGAGTTTGTTTGAGGCTACACCTATGATGGTTAATCTTTTGGTTAAGAAGGATGCGCCCTCTGCTAAGGAGTATCTTAAGGCTAGTAAGAAACTCACTACCGGTGAGTTGGATCTACTAAACCTCTTTCATCAGTATACATTGGAAGGCATTATTATTTACATCTTTGGTTGCCTCTTCAATAGTATTAATGAGAGCCCAGCTGTTCGGCTTTCTACCCTTGTAGACCAACTATTGCTTTCTGAAAGGAATTATCAACGGGTTGGGAGCAAACCTTCCGTTAATGTAATTCCTGGGTGTATAACTAAGAAATATGGGTGTATTATTGGTAGAACTTTTATTAGAAAGAGAATTGATAACAACATCTAACGATTTATCTTTTCCTGATCAAAGGGTTAATAAAACAGTGAAGGGTGGTAAAACAGAGGAGGGTGGTAAAACAGAGAAGGGTGCTAAGCGTAAGTATTACAAACAAAAACCAATATATGTAATTTGTAATTTTGATTTAAGCATTCTCCCGATCCAGTTAAGTCTACCTATGGTATACCCTCCTAAGGAGTGGGGTGTTGTAGAACGACTTAAAGTGAGGGGAGAGGCGCCTAAATCACTATCTGATATTACTGGGGATTATTTAAGCGAACCTAACGGGGATTTATATTTATATAATCGGTATAATCTATTAACATCCCGCGATAAGAATAACTTTAATATTTTATTGGGTGAAAACTACCAGGAAATGTGTGACACCATGAATACCTTACAGAAAGAGGCTTTTGAGATAAATGTAGGTGTGTTAGATTTCATTAGAATAAATTATGATATATTAGTGGAAATAGATCTACTGATGCCGAAGTTTCTAGCCAACTTAAATGTAGCCGAGGGATGCAAGCTATTGAGGGAGTGTTATCTAGAAGCATCAAAGGGGGTTGGTAAGCTCAAACCTAACCTCTATCCTGCATTTCTAAAAGAGTTCTTGAGTGATATCCAGCGAGCCCGTTATGAAAGGTTTATACTCGATATAGCGTCAGCTTACGAGGGGTATGAATTTTATCTGCCAGCATTCGTCGACTTCCGCGGTAGGATTTATCGCGCGGGGGTATTACATTTCCACGAGCGAGATTTAGCAAGGTCATTGATAGTGTTCTCTAAGCGTACAGTTTATGATGCTAAGATGGCAAATCCTTCTCATAGTACAGAATACGATGAGAAGGTTAAGACAATGTTATATGCGGCAGCCTCATTTCATTATCAAAAGTTTGATACTTACTCCGCGGCTGAGAGATGGTATCATGAGCAGAGGTTTGAGTCTATTGGTAGAATCATTGAGTATGCACCTACCGCTAGAGATCCCTTTCAGTTCCTAAGCAAGGCTCTAATTATCCAAGGGTTGGATACTAGGGTATCAGACTGGCAACTTCCTATCACACAAGATGCATCTGCAAGCGCTTATCAGATAATTAGTTATTCTTGTTAGATTTTGAAATAGCTAATTGTACGAATCTTATTCCAACTAAAGGTGATAAGGAGCAGCCTATAAAGAAAATAGGTATTAATGACGTTTACGACTTCTTTGTATCGGAGATTAAAAAGTCCTTGATTGAGGAATGTCAAACTTTCGAGGATCCTCACCTGATTAGGACTCGCGTATGTGAGGCGCTTGATAGAAAAATTGTTAAATCTCTCCTAATGTCGTTGATCTATGGAAAAACGTATTTCAGTGAAGACAATCCGGCGTCTCTATTTCCAACTATCCATAAAAGGAGTAATAAGATGTTGTCCGACTTTCTAGAGCGCTTAGCAGTCGTAGTGAGCAAAAATCGATCAATTCATACTGTCTACTTCCACAACTTATCGCGATTTGATGGTATTCTATTTTTGAAATATTTCGCTAGTCATGATACTAAACACACCTTTAAACCTCTTATGAGGAACAACTTGCTATATGAGTTAGTTGTCTATCACGATAAGAAAATGCTATTTCGTCTAAGGGATTCACTCATGCTTCTCCCGAGTAATCTCAATACCTTAGCTANCGAAGATGGAAATCGATCACTCTTACAACCTTGTATAAACCGTAAAGACCAAACCTTATACACTATCCCCCAAGAGCGCTCTAGCGACCGCTAATGATTTGCCTTAATAAATAAATAAGCATTTACTATGAGTTTTTATATTCTGTAATATAACCCACGAAACAGTCTATGTTTCGCTCACCCTGCGTCAAACCAATAGCCTACAATTAATTCTACCTAGGCTAAATGACGTAGGTATATTCCAGGGTGACCGGGTTTTATTCCCTATAGAGTTGCTAATATGTTAATATCATTTTTTGCTTTTATTACCAAAATTCTTGTACGAACCCGGATAATGGGGTAAAACAGAATCTAAGCAGATACCTTTCTTCATACCCTGTATTATACCCTCCCGCCAAGGATGAAATGTGTTCAAAGAACGAGAAAAAGGAGGCGTACTGCTTGAGCTGCCCTCTGAATTACCCGAGGAAGATCCGGTATTACCATTATCAGAAGAAGTCCCGCTATCAATCGTCAGTTTTTCGAACTTCTCACACAGCGTATAATCATCCAGGTCGTCGATATTTTTCAATACATTAAAAAATCGACACCAATCTATACTCTTCGGCCGCATAACTGGAAATGAATTTCTTATGTAGGATATAAACCCTATAAACAGTGCTTCCGCAATTTAACACAGTTACCAAAGGCTCACCCGCACCAACCCGGTTTGCTAGTTCAGCAAAAAGGCGGAGGGATAGTCTAATTCTAGGTGAGCAGGGCTTATATAAGATTTACCGAGCATTTAGCCTTGTAAACCAACAATTTTTATTATTCACTACATAGACAAAAATATCCTATCAAATAAAAAGTACAAAATACGACCAAAAATAGTTTACCATAATTATCTTTTTCCTCTTCAACCCCTGAAACATCACCTTTAACCTCTTGTTTTTCAACCCTTACTTCTATACCATCATAATTGAAATCTGAAGAATTATTCACTTCTTTCTTTGACCATTCAAGCAATTTCTCTATAAACTCAGGTAGTTTAATACTATATATAATTTCTAATTGTTTCAAATAATCTATGATTAGATCAGCTAAGGTTGGTATATCCCAACCCCTACACCTAAGAATGTAAGTTATCACTGGCATTAACATGAATAACTAACCTAATTCCATTAGTAATAATTTCATGAATGATAAGGTGTGACGTCTATACATATATGTATAGAGAGCACGATATATTTTGGTGATGATCCCAGTTGTGTGGTCTATAAGGCGAAGATGGAAATCGATCACTCTTACAACCTTGTATAAACCGTAACTTATCGCGATTTGATGGTATTCTATTTTTGAAATATTTCGCTAGTCATGATACTAAACACACCTTTAAACCTCTTATGAGGAACAACTTGCTATATGAGTTAGTTGTCTATCGCGATAAGAAAATGCTATTTCGTCTAAGGGATTCACTCATGCTTCTCCCGAGTAATCTCAATACCTTAGCTAAAAATCTCTGTCCCCAATTAGGGGCTAAAGGATGTATACAGTATGATAAAGTACAAGAGTCGAGTCTTATCCAGATGCGGGAAGAATTATTAGAGTATATGAAACGGGATATCTTTTTATTAGGTGGCATTATGCATACAGCTCAAGCTATCTATTATTCTCTGTATAGAGTTGATATCTTGAAAAAAAGGACCTTGTCAGCGTTAGCTCTAGATATTTTTCGCTCTTGCTATTACGATCAGGAAAACTCCCCTATCTATATCCCCAATCTTAATGAAGATACATTCATTCGCCGTGGATACTGCGGGGGCCATACCAATGTATATAAACCTATAGGTCATAATCTATATTACTATGATGTAAACTCATTATACCCATATATTATGAAAAACTACCCAATGCCTGGGGGTGAGCCTGTCTGGCGGGGCAATTTGGAGAGCGCCAAATTAGATAGCTTGTTTGGATTTTTTGAGGCTTATATAGAGTGCCCTCCACATATAAAACGACCTTTCTTACCCTATAAGGATCCTAAATCTAAAACACTAATCTTCCCTACAGGTGAATTTGTCGGTGTTTATTACAGTGAAGAGTTAAAATATGCTACAAGCGTAGGCTACAAGGTAATCCCTCTTTCGGGCTACATGTTTCAAAAAATAAATCCCGGCAGCCCATTCGGGGAGTTAGTTGGCTCCCTCTTTGAGAGCCGGTTAAAGGCAAGGAAAGAAGGTAATGAGGCTATGGCCTATGTGTACAAGATCCTTATCATTCATGAAATTATTACTAATGGAATTAGGTCAGTTATTCATGTTAATGCCAGTGATAGCTTACATTCTTAGGTGTAGGGGTTGGGATATACCGACCTTAGCTGATCTAATCATAGATTATTTGAAACAATTAGAAATTATAGATAGTATTAAACTACCTGAGTTTATAGAGAAATTGCTTGAATGGTCAAAGAAAGAAGTGAATAATTCTTCAGATTTCAATTATGATGGTATAGAAGTAAGGGTTGAAAAACAAGAGGTTAAAGGTGATGTTTCAGGGGTTGAAGAGGAAAAAGATAATTATGGTAAACTATTTTTGGTCGTATTTTGTACTTTTTATTTGATAGGATATTTTTGTCTATGTAGTGAATAATAAAAATTGTTGGTTTACAAGGCTAAATGCTCGGTAAATCTTATATAAGCCCTGCTCACCTAGAATTAGACTATCCCTCCGCCTTTTTGCTGAACTAGCAAACCGGGTTGGCGCGGGTGAGCCTTTGGTAACTGTGTTAAATAGCGGAAGCACTGTTTATAGTGTTTATATCCTACATAAGAAATTCATTTCCAGTTATGCGGCCGAAGAGTATAGATTGGTGTCGATTTTTTAATGTATTGAAAAATATCGACGACCTGGATGATTATACGCCGTGTGAGAAGTTCGAAAAATTGACGATTGATAGCGGGACTTCTTCTGATAATGGTAATACCGGATCTTCCTCGGGTAATTCAGAGGGCAGCTCAAGCAGTACGCCTCCTTTTTCTCGTTCTTTGAACACATTTCATCCTTGGTGGGAGGGTATAATACAGGGTATGAAGAAAGGTATCTACTTAGATTCTGTTTTACCCCATTATTTGGGGTCGTACAAGAATTTTGGTAATAAAAGTATGGCTTTTGCATTTCGTTTTCTACCCGGTCAATCTAAATTTCTACTTAAAGAGTTAGAGTATTGTAGTGAGAAAGTGGAAAAATTGACCGTATACTGCAACAACCTGGGGTTATCATATATAACTAGTAGAATTTCACTCGATAGTATGTTTACTGCCTCTAGTTTAGGAGCCGGCATTCGTGGATTATTGAATGAACCCGGGAATGCAGATAGGGTATTAACTGATGTTGTAACATATACTCTCGGGTATTTTGGGCGTTACTTGGCGCTTGTGGTCACGGGTGTAGGTTGTGCTGTCTGGTACAAGGTGGACCCTTGCTCAATGGGTAATATGCCTGATAGCACCATATTTGGCCCGCTATTCAACTACGAGAAGTATTTCGACCTACAGTATCGACCGCAGGGGTTTGAGGTCGCAAAATTTATCGATTCTGCTAATCTTACCCAGCCCGTGCCCCATGCCATTAGTGAAACGCCTTTATGTGAATTAACTATTCCGGCTAGTGGACCTCTGCTTAAGGCGGTTGGGTTGGGCATAATGCTCTCATTCGCTCTTGCTGGCGGTCTTCGTCCTACCNTGAGGCCATGGCCTATGTGTACAAGATCCTTATGAATTCACTATACGGTAGATTTGGTATTAACCCTGAATCCACGCAGACAGAGGTCTGCAATTACGATAAATATAATCAATTAATTATGACAACAGGGTTCCAGTATGCTGAGAAGCTTAGCGATGAATACTACATTGATGCCTATAAGACTAATACAGAACGGGTTCCAGACGCGGAGTGGAGGCCACCAAGGATAGCAGCAGTTCAGATGTCGGCGGCTATCACAGCATGTGCTCGTATCCATATGCATCATTACATTTCAAGAGAAGATTGTTACTACACGGATACGAACTCAGTTATCCTTGGGAGTCCTCTTCCTGATGATAATGTCTCACCCACTGAATTGGGGAAGTTTAAGCTGGAGCACAAATTAAATAAAGGTATCTTTTTAGCACCAAAGGGTTATTGTCTTTGGACTGATAAAAATCAGATCATAACTAAACATAAGGGGTTAGCTAAACCATTGGTCAGTGATAAGTGGCATGAAACACAATACGCTGATTTAAAACGGAGAATAGTGGCCCTTGTTGATTCTAACTTCCTAATAAATTGGGCAACACTGGACATCATGAAAAAGACCAAATTAGTGAAGTTAAGTACCCAAACTAATACCAAGAGGGAACTGGTGTATGATAATAATCAAGATTGGGTTGATACAAAACCGGTGAATGTGAAAGACTACGCG